GGGGGGGGGAGATGAGAGGCACGGGGGAGGTTAGGTCAGCAAGGCAGCTTGGAGAGCCAGGGGTTATCACAAGGACTGTCATCGAGCTGCATGATAAAGCTCAGCACACAGACTCTGCCCCATTCAGGCAGGGTATAGCTCAGCACCACACCACATAGCATCTACCCAGATATGCATTCAGTTTGCCGGGTAAACCAAAAGACATACAACCCATCCAAAGAGTGCAACTTGCAAAAAGCACATTTTTAGACGCACAAGCAGTTTATTACAGGCTCCAGAGGACATGATGCCAACCCTAGTTGTTTTGGAAGCTTTTTTGGGCTATATGAGAGAAGTGTGTGTGTTTGTATAAAGTGTGTTTTTATAATACTCACATGACAGCACACTGGGCAAAGGAGAGGTACTCCACCAGGACGTCAAGACCTCTGTTCTCATCATTGAGGAACTCCCTGACCCACCTGTGACGCACAGGAACAGAGAGGAGTTAACAGGGCAGCAAATCAAGAACACACCCTTATCCTTTTAGGACAGGACAACATTTTACACTATTATTTTTGATGGATCATAGTATAAAAACACAGAGGTAAAATAGCGATTGGTGTAATTTTCTAAGATCCATAAACGTTTTCTGATTTTTCTTTAAAAAGAGATTCAATAGCAATTTCACTAAACGATTAGATTGTAGCAATGTCACCATTTGCCAATGACTCAGCAATGATTCGGTAAGTATAGTGTTACCATAACTGATCAAAATAATGAAAACTACAAAAATAGGATCCTAGTGGAAAGTGGAATTATTCTTTGAGGCAGCTCTGAGGGGGGTCTGCCCTCCCCGGAGTGAAGGATCTTGGCAGGAATGTCGTGGAAAGTAAACCAGAGCAAGGCTTCAGATTTCCACCACATTTAACTCTTTTTTTGGAGAGAGAAACAACTCCAAACAAAGGAATTCCCATTGCGATGAGAGGAAGAATGTGGAGGGCATATGGCAGAGGGAGTGGGGCTCAGGTCGAACCCCTGACAGTCAACAGTATTTAGTCTGCCTCCCCCACGGACCCCCTTCACCTCCTCCCCACTTCTTCAGAGAACTACAGTGGGGGGGACAGGATTGGGGTAAAAGGTTCTTAAAATAGTCTTGGATAGCTGGTTAGGATGACAGGAAAGCAATCAAGAGCCTTGAAGTAGCAGAAGGAGGGAGGGAGGGAGGAAGGAAGGGAAGGAAAGGGAAAAGGGGTGAGGAGAAGAACTAAGGAAAGCAAACAAAGCAGTAAGAAGATTGGGTGCAGGAGGGAAGAAAGGGGGGGGGGTGGACAAGAAGGCGGGCTTGATCATCAGTTTCCTGTCTACCACCACCCCTCCCTCTCCTTTCTCCCTCCTTCCCTCTGACCCCTTCCTCTCTACCTCCCTTCACTTCTCTCCAACCAGTTGCTATTTCAGATTTTCTTGGCAATTTCTGGAATAACACATCGGAACGGGCTCAGGATTCATACACACACAATAAAGCAGCATCTGCTAAATCCCATCCACCGAAAAGCTTCTGAAAATAGTTTCCTTGCCTGAGAGTCTTTCTGGGAAACACATTGAAACAGACCTTTATTAATGAGGCCTAATAGGATATGAGTTAAACTTGGAGCTCAGTGAATACTATGAAAAATCAAAGCCTCTTTTACAGGCCACTCTCTGATGGGAATTCAGAGGCAAGTCACAGCAGCACATTTTTAATATGAAAGTATCTGTGTGATTCATATCATCAAGTCAAGGATCACGTCTGCAACAATGAAGATAAAGAAAGGCTTTACATAACATCCACAAACACAGTGCGTGTGTATTGAACTGCGCAGTATTGAATGTCTCTGACAAAATATGACAACACAATAGAAAAGGATTGTTTGCTTTAAAATGCGAAAAATGTGTAAACATGAAAGTATCCTTGTGTGTGTTTTTGTGCCTTGTTCAGCATTGGTCAGCCAGGCTTCCTGTCCCTCTGGCACACACAACAAAGCTTCCTGCTCAACACTATGGGGGAGTGGACGAGGCAGCACAATGGCTACCATCTGGGCATTATGAGGAGAAGCTCTATGAAGTGGAGCTGTAGAGCTTGGCAAGTTGAAACAATGGGGGATATCTGGGCACCAGAAAGAGCTCTGGGTCCCTGCAGCAGCACGAGCACAGAAAGGACTATTCTTTACCAGGGGAAAAATGTGGTTTCCTTACGCTGTGTGCACCATTAAAGAGATCTGTGTAATTTACGGGGAGAGACAGGTAATGATTACCCAATGTGGTTGGTCCTCAGTGAGATCTCCAGCTCCCTCAGGACTTTTGTAGACTCCTGCACCCGTCTGCGAAACTTCTGCAACACATAATGAAGGAGAAATGTCATTGAACATGTACTCAAGCAGATATATGAGTATCCCAGAGGTCTGGACTGGTTCCCTCACGTTTTCTACAGACCCATGGATTTTTTTTAAATATTCCAACGTGTAGTCTTCAGCCCCACAACAGACAGTGTCTGACTTTAGGAGCCTTTTTTCACATATGGAGTAGTGCACATGTAAACACACTGCGATCTGTACAATTGTTCGAGTTCCCCTTAATGTGGACACTGAATTTGAAAGGTCATCGGTACTTTCCCACCTTTCGTGTGACTCCAGGGTCTAAGTATCCTCGTAGCTTCTGGATGTAGGTGTGAGGCGGATTCTTCACCTGAAATCTCTCCTGAGGATACACAACAGAGTAAGCATTGTAGTGAGCAGTTATATAAAGGCATTGTGATGCTGCAGCATGAGGAAAGGGATAGCAGCAGGTGTGTGTACATTGTGAGCGCTGGTTTTGTTGTTCATGAATAAGAGTTTATGAATGCACCTGGTCGCAGATCAGGTCCCACTTCTTGTCGTTGTCGTATTGTCTGAGGAGCCGTGCTTTGTCTGGAGGCAAGTTCATAGAATTCTAAAAATGAAAATAATGTAAGCGTTAGTTTCATTAATAACCAGACATTTCCCTTTTTCAGTTTATTTGACTGTGTGTCAGATACTGGGTCTTTGGCGCCTGACATTTTTTAGGGACACCATGACCTCACTTCCTGTGTTGACACTCCGCATCCTGCCGCAGGAGATGAGCTGCATCTCCTCTGCAAACTCAAGTCTCGGTATCACTCAGGCTTTTAACCACAACAAGCCACTACCAGAGTACAGGTCTATTCCCAGACCCGTCAGATAATCCAGTCGTAAAACACTTGAACGCCACGCGAGACCTCCTGAGGCAGCCCCTTTACTGCAGCTCAAATTAAACCCTAAAGGCTCTAATTTGTGTTTGGAGACCAACCAACGTAAGCACTCCTCTTGACAACAGTACAAAAATAACACAAACAATATGAAACCGTCTTTGACTAATCACTTCCTCGTCTGAGCCAAGATCTTGTAAACAGCGGTTGATGCTTAAATCTTAAAAATGAGGAAGCACAACAATAGGAAGGAGCTGCCCCTGAAACTGATAACCTCAGCGATTATTTTCACGAGACATGAGGGATTGTTTGAACTTGGAACCGTCATTTACCCCCTGCATCAAGTGAACCCGGCCTCAAACGTCCTGTCAGCTTGACCTTTAACCTGCAGCTATAACTCAGCCTCTCGTGTAAAACACAGCACCCTGTTAACCCATCTCAGGCAAGATGTGCTGCTCACACTGGCATTTTCCCACTGGTGGAGGTTTGGATGGATGGAAAATTACATATTCCTGTTCCAATGACAACAACGCAGTCAGTGGTGAGGGTGGAAAATGACATGTGAGTATTTTTAAAATAGGTTTTCCACATCAGGACCACATTGTTCACTCTATCAGCACATCACGAGTCATGTTGTCAGAGACTGAGGACACTGAGGTGAAGAAAATGGTGGGTCTGTATTTCCTGACAAATTACTCCTCTGCCAAGGAGGTTCAGTTTTTAGTTTGGTTTGTTTGTTCGTCTGTTAGTTTGTCAGCAGGGTTACAAAAAGATTCTTGCTCAATTTCATGAAACTTGGTGAAAGAGTTTAACGTTTTCGACCAGACACAAATCATTGGATGCATAAACAGATTATTATGTAACATTAACATTGGAAGGAATGGCACTGCAAGGCAGACTTATTAATACATAAAACCTATTTAAACTGTTGTTGAATGCCCTTCAAAATGTGAAAATGCAATGCCTGACAGAGCTTAAACTGTAGAGTAGTACATTGCAGAGATTTTGCATAGGGGCCTTCGACATAACCTGATTTATAAATCCCTCGCAAGAGAAAAGACATGCATACCAGATGTCAAGTATTACAGGAGAAATATGTCTGTTTATAGTAGTAGTTTATTGAAGTACATTTTTTCTCTCGTCTGACCCCAAAGCGGCTCTCTCTTCCTTCGTCTTTCCTGGGAGAAATCTACGAAATGATCTTTAGGAAAGTCATAATAGGAAATGAAGAGTAGTTTCTCCTAGGGCTGCTTGATTATGGCAAAAATCATAATCTCGATTATTTGGGTCAATAATTGATATCACGATTATTAAAAACGATTATCCATTTACTTGATTAGTTGATTACCCTCAACTTTAAGTATAATTCAATTGAAAACCAATAAAAAAATATATATATATTTTTTTCTTTTAAAGAAATAATAATAAAAGAAATAATAAAAATAATCGTTTTATTTTGATTATGTTATTTTCATAATCGTTGCAAGCCAAAAATCGTAATTGCGATTAAAATACGATTAATTGAGCAGCCCTAGTTTCTCCCTTATGTTTGTCTCTGAGTATTTTTATCCTAGAGTGGACGCAACTGTAGTCATAATTTATCACTGATAACTTGTGCTAGTACAGTAATTTGTAACCTCTCATTGGTGATCAAAAGAAACAGCAATATTTGAAAAATAAAACACATATTAAGAGCTTTTACTTTTTCATTTAGGACTCAATGAATTATAACTCATTAAATAATGTATGGATAGAGATCTTTGGGATTTACTGTAGCGCTAAAACGATGAGTTGATTCATTTATGAGTTGATTTCCAAAGAACACATTTAGCAACTATCATGAAAATGGACTAATGGTTTCATTTCTTTCAAGCAATGAGTACAAATACTTGCTGGTTGCAGCTTTTCCGATGTTCAGTTTGCATGATGTTCCCTGTGTCAATAAGGCATTCAAAGACATCATCTTAGGCTCTGGGAACCAATGGCTGAATGTTTTATTGACAAAGAAATTAATGAATAAATCAAAAGAGAGAACAGATTCATCAGTATTAAAAATAATAAATTGCAGCAGCTCTTAGTAACTGTATCTAGGAATATAACGTTTGACCTGAGCCCACCGAGAATTAAGGGATTGCCCCTTAGGCTAAGTCATAATGAAATAATGACTTTAAAGTACCAATAGCACTAGGTGGATATCTTTAAACTACTCCAGATTTTGTTTCTCTTGAATTGATTTAAATACCTGGGTGGTAAATGAAAAAATAAGCCCAGATATCTGCTCCAGCATCTGTCCAGGCCCAAAGCCTCGTACGATTTGTTTTCTTGGTCAGTCATGCATACTAAAGTAGAACTGCAGGGCAAACAGGCAAAGAGCAAGGCCTCCTTTTGTAGTAACTTAATTCAGAATGACTGGAAAACATGCAGACCAGACGGACGCAGATGTTCATCCATATAGACAAAAGGAGCAAAATTAAGTCAAAACCTGCCGACTGTCATTGGATTTAGAGTTTTGACAACATGAATTAAAAGTGAAAAAAGTGTAGCGTTTCAGTTAGCGATCAGTAAATGCAATATTCGAGCCATGAGGACACATACAACACTTCAATATTTGGTATAAAGGTTAGTCTCTGTCAGTTGGAGCCTGAGGTAATGTCAACAAATACAGGTGGGACCGGAGCAGATGTGATGAGCTACAAATGTTACAGGTATTAAAGTTTTCCTGGGATGACAGGAGGGGTAGAGAAGAGGTTTCTCCAGCGACAGAGCAATAGGCAGAGGGGATGTTTCCTTTCTGACTTGATTTGGGTAATTTGAGCCAAGTAACCCAATTAAACTAATTTCATTTCACTTTCTCCCACAGTGATATAATCTTGCCCTTCCTGTGTTCATAAGAAGCTCAAAGAAGTAGCTTCATTGGGGGAGAGGGAGCTGCAGTACTTCATCATTTGGGATTCTTCTGCCCATATTAGGGGTAAAATACTGCAGAAATGCCAACAATGTTTGTGGTTCATATGTTGCCATGTTGCCCACATATGCTCTCCTCCAGCAAGGCTTTTCTTGTTTAACCTGAGACTGGCTTGACAAAAGATTCAATGTGGCGCTTTGTTATGATTTGGTGCTGTGCCATTCCCATCCTTTGACATTTGAGCTATTTCTTTCCACATAGAAATGTGCTAACAATGGCTGGTGGGCAGGGTCAGCGTATGCCCCCTGGTGCTGTGTGGAGCAAAATCCGGCTAACACAACACCAGCACACTGCACAACCAGATGAACTGGTTCTATTATCAACACCATCTACCCAATCAGGAGGGGCCCATTGTGAGCCAGAACTGGAGGCAGAGTTTGCAAACAGAGAAAAAAACCTTCCATTGTATTAACCTTCATCATAGTTTACTTGTTTGAAAACAATATTAACTTTGTTTGCTTTTTTTAAATAGAGATCTCTAGCACACAGTGAACAAATATTAATGGAGGAAGAAAGATGTAGACTAATAATGAATAGAATAAGGTTGAAAATTGATCAAAATTCATTGAGATTTATTTATTTGCTTTTCGAGATATAAGATGTGGTTTTGAGAAGCAATGATGACACCAATACAGACTAAATAATGTAATAATTGCTGAAAAAAATTAAGTATTTCCCATTTAACTGATAGAAGAATGTGATCCAGTACAAGACAAATAACAGGTAAATAACCCCAAAAAGTTCAATATTTTGGACAAACAAACAAGTACACAAAATGGGTTTTGGGTAGATGTAGTTTGTGTAGGAGAATTAACTAGGAGTAACACCGCCCAACAGAGAGATATCTGAGCTGTAGACTAAGGAAGACAGAGGTTTTAAAGACTCAAAAGCTAAAGTTGTTGAGGGGGTCGGGTTGCAGGTTAAGGAGACTGAGGAGTCCAGGAGAGCCATCAGGGACTCAGCAGAGCGCTCAGGTCACGCACCGACCCCCACAACCGAGGGTGGGGGGGATGCTGCAGAGCCCACGGTCACCTCAGACATCAGTCAACAGAGCATCTGCCCTGAACTAGACAGCTTCCTAATCCAAACTGATTTACAATTAGCCTTGACTTAAGTTTATGACTAGAAACTCCAACCAGAGGCTCCCAGAGAGACAAATGGAAAAGAGTGACGGCATGTTTCCTCCTGATCTTTTTCACAGCTTCACACTTTCAGTCAGGATAAGACATAACACTGCCATACCTCAATCTAAATGACAATTTGTTTAACAGCCGTCAGCATGTGTTTTTTTTGTGGTCACTAGTTGCTAAAGTTGTTCAAAAGGTTTTTTCCAGTCATGCAATAGAAGGCTTTTTGATAAATGTTTTTGGCTTTGTTTTGCTTCAAGATCCTGGAAGCGAAAGCTAAATTAACTTTTTGACAAGTATTCACTCTGTATTATATTGTGAATGTCTTTATCATTGGAGGTCTGACAATGATGATGATTGTGAAATTGTGTTTTTTTCGTTTTGTTAAAAAAAGGAATTGTGCCTTGAAACTGTGGTTAATGCCCATCTAAGCAGATGCATTAAATATGATTCTCTTTTTTGAGAGTGGGTTGGAAACTCCAGATTTTTTTTTTCTACTTTTACACAGGCCAGACTCTGTTGTCATCAGCTCAGCAGGAAAGGAGAGGGAGGCTAAAGATCTCCCTATGGCCGACGAGCACAGTTCAGACATTGAGACCCAAACAGTCCTCTTTACCCCCAAATAGGCTGAGTC